CCCTCCCTCTCCTTCTATCCCTGCCTCACTCCCCCTCTTCCTCTCCCTGTCTCCTTCCTGCAGGTGCCTCCCACCCTGTGGCCTCCAGGGCTGCTTTCCCCTGGTGCTCTGCCTTCTGTGAGCTGGCAGGCCCTGGTCTGCACTCACCTCCTTGTGCTCACTTCCTGCTGATCTCACCTCTCTCCCTACATCTCGCCAGCTCTGATCCTTTCCTGGAGCTCCAGGATCCCGCCGATGCCTGTGCCTCAGGGACAGTTACTGGTATGAGGTCTGGTGCCATCTCAAAATCTGATGTGTTCTGTGACAAGGCCCTAAGTCCTTTTCCTCCCAAAGTTCCTTCTGTCCACCTCCTCCCTAAGGAACCATCCTTGAAAATTCTGTTGGGGCTCATTTCTAAACATAACGCCATCTTTGGTGGTTTGTCTGTCTCAGCTCATGTCCAGATGGCATAACACATATTTTGTTTGACTAGTAAACATGACCAGTATCTGCACACCTTCTAAAACAGCATTACCTGGTCCAGAAAAGTAAGCCCATGATGAGATGGATAGTGGTACCAGAGGAACATTTTAGTGTGTATTTTGGAAACTGTCATAAAGGCCAATCATAGTAAAGATGTATGTACTATGTCTATTATCAAACTCTTAATTTCTTTCACCCAACATTAATCCTTGAGGATAGTAGAGGCCTTTGAAAATTTTCCCAACAGAGCCTGTTGAGATGTACCAGCCATCAGGAGGATGAGTGGAGCCGTGAGGATGTGCCTTCGTCCTGGAACTGTTAGGTTGGGCCTTCTTGTTTATCAGGGTATTATTACCCCTTAGTGATTGTTGACTGATCGGGTCTGTCATCTTTGAAACCATTGAAAGGTGAAGAGCCAATAAATGTGACAAATAGTATAATGTTGGGGCTCCGGGAGGATCAAAGCCCCCTCATAGAATTCAAGATTCTCTTGGGGCTAAGACCAACATCTTCTCTGAGGGGCCTGTAGTGATTTATTTAGTTACAAGAACACAGGAGGGGAATTGGCAAGGAGGACAAAACTGGCTCAGGGCTTCTCCAAGTAAGGTATTATGCTCAACTGGGCGAGCTACCTTCACTCCAGGAGGGTCTCACCCAGGAGTGACATGCCTGTGCTACAGTCTCTCCAGCTGAGGTTGGAGCCAGTGTCTTTAGCTGTGACCGTGTTTGATGCTTTGGGGCTTCAGGTCTTCACCCACCATTCCAGGCCCCAGTAGGGCTCAGTGACAGAAAGTCCTCCCTGAGGGTCCACTGCCCATCTCCAGGCAAGGGGCCTCAGCCCTGCACAGACCAGAAGTAAGCAGGAAAGCCAAGTGAGTAATTAAGTTCTCCTCAGAGCTGCCCCATAGTGGTCTCCGTCATGTGTTTGCCTGAAAGTCAACTGGGGAGAAAGGTCTGTGTGGAGACTAAGACCTTCCGTGACTGTGTGAGTGGCTGTGGAGAACAGAGGCAAACACGGCTCATGAAAACCATGTGCAACTGCTGCTAATGGCTGTGAGGAACTTTGTAAGAGTTTGTTTGTCCCCTTTGTATGGAAACTCTATTGTCGACTGTCCCTGGAAAAGGATCCTTCAACTTCCCCTGCTGAACTCCAGTGTCGGAAGAGGTAGAGTCCCTGCGTGGATGCTCACCTTTGCCTTGATCCTTGGATCATAAGGATGGGACACAACTGGAGTTTCTTCAGGCCAGGAGCTGTGCACATCGTTGGGTCCAGAATACCAAGAGCGCTGCATGATGCGCCAGTTCCTGATGTTCCATGGCATCGCTTGAAGCCAAACCTTGCAAGCCTGGAAGGGATCTCCAACCTGTGCCCTTCTGTGATGGGGCAGCGCTGCAGGAGGTACAGACAGCCTGAGAACGCCATGCATGGTCGGCACATCTGCTCTGGATTGTGACATAACATGAGAGAACTGAAAGGCAAAGCACTGACTTTACGTGCCGTTTCTGTGTTATTAGTATTTTAGGCTGTACTTGTTGTGTGTCTGATGTGGTTTTATTCAGTTTCATAAAAGAACTGAATTTTTGAGCCCAAAGGTCCCTGTGAATGTCAGCTCTGTTCCTTTCATCCTGTGCCAGCGTCCTCAGCACAGCACAGGGCCGTGCTGCTCTTCCTCTTCCTCACTCTCTGCCCAGGCAGAGGCCTCAGCTGCGAGGTGTTGCTCTGAGTCCCCAGCCTCTGCCCTCACACAGAGCGGTCTGCGCTGTGCTGCTCCCCAGACAGCAGGGCAGGCGCGCAGCTGGGCCTCCAGGCAGGAGCTTTGTGTTCGGGGCTGTAGCACTGTGTGAGGAGCATATAAACCTTGCCAACAGTAGTACACTCCAGCGTCCTCAGCCTCCACCCTGCTGATAGTGAGTGTGAAGTCTGTCCCTGACCCACTGCCGCTGAACCTGTCTGGAACCCAAGAGTCCCTTTTGGAAACCTGATAAATCATGCACCGTGGAGCCTGGCCTGGCTTTTGCACAACCCAGCTCAGGTAGGTTTTTCCATCACTATACAGCAGGCTCTGACTGGATCTGCAGGAGATGGAGGCGGGCTCTCCAGGGCTGACAGACAGAGAGAGTGGGGTCTGGGTCAGTACAACATCTCCTGTGGTTCCTAAAATGATACAGGAGAAATATGAGATCATATGCAAACTCCATGAGCCATTTCATAATTTTACCTTTTGCACACATATCAGGCTAAGTTATTTTTATTTTTATTTGTGTACAAAACACTGAATTTTAAAATTGGCCCCAGATTAGCAGCCCCAAGGGAGCCCATTGGGCTCACGCTCACCCTCTCCATCTGTATGTAAAGTCATCACCAGAGAACATGGATCTTGGTTCCCTCTGGAATCCTCCCACCCCTGCAGACCCACCCTCCCCTGTCCATCCTGCAGGCCCAGCCCGCCCCCCTCCCTCTGTGCTCTGAGCTCACTTGGGCAGCAGGGCACCCAGAGCTCCCCTCCCCCAGGCCCCCTCAGCTCCCTCTGCCCTCACCAGGGAGACAGAGCAGCAGCAGCCCCAGGAGCTGAGCAGGGAGCCTCATTGTGAGCAGCTGAGCTGAGGAGTCCTGATCACTCAGGGTGAGGCCAGAGCCCATCTTTTATCTCTGACCTGCAGGCCCAGTTCCTCTCTGAGGAGCCAAATGCAAATTGCCTGGTGGGTGCAGTGGTGTGGAGAGAAAGAGAGAGAGAGAGGGCCTGGGGAGGCCTCTCCTGGGGGCTGGTGGGGAAAATGTCCCCTGCATTTGGAGGGAAGCCATGGACATGAAGTCCACGCTGTGTGCAGCTGTGGGCACCAGGACTCCACTGTGAAGATCTGCACCTGACACAGGAGCACAAGGGCCATGATCCTGACCCCAAGGTGGTCTCGGACCTTGGAGGGAATGCCCACCCTGCTTGGCCTCCTTCCTAGCTGGGAAGGAATAAAAACAGCTTACAGTTAGCCATCTTCAGAGATGTCAACCACCAGGAGCGTGGAGTGGGGCTGTTGAAGATTTTCCAATACTGTTTCCATGCAAACTGTATGAGTTTTAGGTGCCTGTTAGCAATGCCTTTTTTCTCAATTTGGTGATTAAACTCGATTAAAGCACTCACACTGAAGGAAATACTGTTTTTCATTTGGATAAACACCCTATACCCTTGTGAAAGTGAGGTAGAGTTGTTGAAACAATTATGAGTAACTTTTTTTTTAATGAGTAACTCTCTAATGAGTATAAAATTTGTGGGGGCAGGCATGTAAGATGGTTCAGTAGAATAAGCACTTCCCTGGCAAGTTCAAAGGCCTGAGTTCAATACCCGGGTCTGAAAAAAAAAATTCGGGGGATGTAGGGTTTAAAAATTCATGAATTAACTGTATTATTTGTCTCCATTAAATATACACTTATGAAGTTGTATACATGAAGTGTATATTTTAACATCTGTCCTTGTATATCAATATATGCATCCATAGATAAATGTATATTTTTGTATATAAACATATACATCAGATTAATGAAAATATTTAAGTAAAAATTCTCCTGAAATCTTGCACAGCATGAAAGAGGTATAAGCTTATAATTCTCCTTTTCAATGACCATAAAAGGTCCTTGTGGTAAGTAGTTTTCTTTTTAATATTGCATGGTTTTTCTTTCTTTTTTTCCTATAATTTTGTTGCGAAACAGCGATGAGATAGTTTCAAAGCAAATTGGTAGGACAGTTTCACTAATTAACACATTGCATACTCTCTTCCTAGTGGTTATTTACTCTACAAGATGTGGACATGATATCCTATTTACAAACACCATTAGAACAAATCCCTCTGTTCATTAAGAGAATGTAACTATATATCCATCCTAACCATTTTGAATACACAGACACAAAATGGACATTCATCTGTATCCCCTTTTTTGTTTAGTTCCGTCATTTGAATATTATTGGTGTGTTAACTCAGCAAAATATTCTAAAAGAGTTCAGTAATTCATAATAGTATTGGGTCTTCTGCTTGACTGGCAATGTCAGAAATTGTTGACCTGAGTTCCCTACAGCTCAACATAACAGCATG